ACGCCCACGCTAGAGGGCTGCACCCTCTGGGGCTCAGCCGTGCCCAGCCTCTGACTGGATGCAGAATGTGGACGCTCTGCCCGCTGGGCACCGCTCCCTGCAGTGGCTGCGTGTGTTATTAGAAAGCGTGGGGCGGGCCGGGAGCTTGACAGCAGCCATCAGGGTGGGGAGCGGGCGGTGGGCGTGGGGCCAGGTCCCGGCAGCTGTGACCCCACAGTGGTGACTGGGCGACTGGTGACGGCGCAGGGGCCAGATAAGGTTCTTCCGGCTGAGTCAGTGTGGTTCCCAGGGCTGGCACGGGCAGGGGCACGGTGCCAGGGGCTGGCGGGCGGGCACCCTCCCCGTGCCCGCCACGGCCCGCTGGCTCCACGCCAGCAGCCACAGCAGCTTTGATGAGGTAGGAGCTGCCCCAGGCGGGATGGGCTGAGTTCCCAGGGGCTTCCCGACACCCTCCCCGCCCCCCAGCACACAGCCCCGGGCGCCTGGCGCCACAGGAAGATGCCCGGCATCAGAGCCGGGCCCCAGGACACACAGGGCCTGGCCTGCTGCCCACTCTGTTCCAAGCACAGCAGACGGGCGTTGCCAGGTTCAGGACCTAGTGTCTGACCTCTAAACCTTTGCCCAGACTGTGCCCTCTGTTCAGGACACCCTCTTCCACCAAAAACATTCTCACCCTTCGTCCCTGGCCCTGCAGACCTGCCTCTTCCAGTCCTGACAGGATCACAGGCCCCAAAGTCCACCCCACCCCCGCCCGCAAGCTCACTTCCCCGGCCCCAAACCCCGCCAAGGCTCCTTTGAGCCCACCTTTCATCTGCCCTAATGTCACCCCCACACCTCCTGCCGGACGGTCCAGCCACACTGTTCCCAGGTGCACACTCTACGCTTCTCTGTCCACCTGGCAAACTGTTACATATGCTGCATCCCCCAGTCCCAAAGCTTCTGGGCAGCCTTCCCCTCCACCTTCCCCTGGCCCAGCACTGATCCCGAAGGGCTCCCTGCAGCCTGGGGGGCTCCAGGGCAAGACGAAGAAAATCTGCCAGCTCCTCCCCAAGTCCCCGCCCCCACCTAACCCCCCTTTCCTGAGCCCAAAGATGTTCAGAGCAGCATCATTTAAAACAGGGAAACGGGGGTGCCTGGGTGGCCCAATCCGTTGAGCATCCAACTTCGGCTCAGGTCATGATCTCACGGTTCGTAGGTTCGAGCCCCGCGTTGGGCTCTGTGCTGACAGCTCGGAGCCTGAAGCTGCTTCAGATTCTGTGTCTCCCTCTCTCTCTGACCCTCCCCTGCTCACACTGTCTCCCTATCTCTCTCAAAAATAAATAAAACATTAAAAAAAAAAAAAGCAGACATGTGTGTCTTCCCACCTAAGTGACCCTGTGTGTGTCCAGGCTCCGGGTCCTGACACCTGATGCGAGGCCCCGGACCCATCGCCTCCTCTGCAGACAAAAGGGACAGAGGCCCAGGGGCCCCCAGCACCCAGAGCTAGGGCTCGCCCCCCGGCCGTCTGCTCACTCCTCCAGGGCACCCTGGGCTCCAGTCCCAGCGCTGACACCCCCCTCAGTCCCCATCAGTCCAACGGGAGCAGCACTCAGCCGCCCTCCCCTGCGGGGCCCAGGGTGTGTGCAGGGGACCCCGGTGCGAGGCTCCATCGGCTCCCTGCACCGTGACCAGTTAGCTGACGAGTGCCAGCTGGAGCTGTCACCCTCCGTGTACGAGGTATGCGGTGGACAGCCGTGACCTTGAAAGGCAAGGGGAAGACACCCCTACGTTTAACATCAACCAAAACCACAGCGAGACGTCACCCCACCTTGACGTGGGCGCCGAAGTCGTGCCGACAGGGGATCACAGGTGCTGGTGAGGACACGGGGACGCCGGAGCCTCGGCGGCCGCGGGGAGGAAAAGGCGACAGCGAAGCCGCGAAAGCGTCAACGGGTCCTCGAAAGGTCAGACAGAGTTACCGCCTGGCCCAGCGATCCCACTCCCGGGGCTGTGCCCACGAGGGCTGAAAACACGGGTCCACACAGAACATGTGCCCACAGCAGCACGACTCACAAACGCCCAAGCTGTGAGCAGCCCGAGCGGCCATCCACAGGCGGGTGCACACACAGCACGCCCACTGCGCACGCGCAGAGACGACCATGTCCGCCGCGCACGCGCACGTCCCTCAGGTGCGTCCACTGCGCACGCGCACGTCCACAGAGGCCCATGTCCGCCGCGCACGCGCACGTCCCTCGGCCGCGAGCAGGAGGGAGGCGCCCACACCCGCCGCCCCGCGAACGGACCTCGAACACACGACGCTCAGGGAGGGAACCAGACACGGGAGGCCACGCGGGTGTGAGTCCGCGTGTGAGAAACGTCCAGAACAGGCTCCTCCATGGACGGGAGGGGCTTGCGGGGGCGGGGGGCTGGGGAGGGGGTGTAAGAGCTCAAAGGTACGTTTACAGAAGTTCATTTTTAAAGTGACCACAATGCCCTCAAGAGACACGTGTCGGCCGCATAACTCTGTGAAACTAAGAGTCACTGAATCGCACACTTGGGGTGAATCACGTGCTATGAGTCTGGTATCAATAAAGCTGCTGAAAACAGTCCCCGTGTTTGAGGAGCTGAGAGCAGGGTTCCCGATTGTTAAGCAGCCCAAGATCTGAGGTTAAGAGCCTGCTGCGGGGGGGGGGGGGGGGAAAAAAAAGAGTCTGGTTTAAAATCTGGCAATGCCACTTTCTAGAGCCCAGGCACGCCTGTGTTGGGGACAGGAAGCCACCAGGATGTCACCAGGATGCCACGTGTGATGCTGGGAGGCTATGATCCTGATCGCTGCCACAACACACCCCATCTTGGCCACGGGCTCCAGGCGTGTGGGCTCCGTCCCCACGTGTCCCCAGGGCCCTGCAGCGGGGAGGCCCCGGTGATTCAAGGGAAGGTTCTGTGGCCACAAGCCTGCGGCTCCGGGTCCGTCCCCGGCCTGGCCACCCTGGGACCTGCAGCCGCTGGCGGAACTTCAGGGCTGTCGAGGGTTCGTAGGGGAAGTCAGCCCAGGCCCTGCCAAGAGGAGGGAGGAAGAGGCAGAGACCGTGCCAAGTAGGCGGCCGGCCGGCCCGGCTGCCACGTGCCAGGAAGGCTGTGGGGCAGGAGCCAGAGTCAACATGGCCCAGGACAGTGCCGGCCGGCGCTGGCGACACAGGTGCTCGGCCAGCTGGCCCTGCCGCAGACGGCGGGAATGCCGGCCCACAACCTCCCTCGGCCCCCACAGCCTCGGACCGGTCCCATCTCCTGCAGGGCCGACCTGGCAGCATCCGGCCTCCACACACAAGCAGTCGCGGTCCAGCCTCAGGGCCTCTGCCCAGGCCATCTCCACAGGTGCACCCTCCCTCGGTGTGCGTGCGCCCGACTCTTGCAAGCCTCCCCCGACGGCATCTCCCCGGAGGCCTCTCCCACGCGGCCCCCACCAGCCAAAGATACCATACCGTACGTCCCACCGGCCGCCTCGGTGTGTGTGGTGTTCGCTTATACACAGCCTCGACACGGAGCTGCGTGTCTGCAGCGGCTCCTTAGCGTGCACACGGTTTGCGGTTCCCTGATCCCCTCTGGCCTCAGTTTCCCCACCCCTGGGCATCCCTGAAATATCACCCTCGCATCGCAGACAAGTGGGAGCGGCTCCCGGGGCCCTTGTTCCTGACATACCCAGGGGGCTTCGGGGTCTGAGCGTCTGACCTGCCCCCAGTCACTGTCGGGCCCCAGGAGTCGGGGGTTAGGGGTCCTGTCAATCTCTGACCTCACAAGGACTGTGTGGCCTTGTCTCTCCCTTTGGGCCCAGCCATGACCCTATAATGCTGGGGGCATCAAATCAATGTAACTTGCCCACACTGTGCTGCCCCATCTGTATTACTTCGAACCCAGAGGACGTTAAGAGCAATGTTGTGGCTCAGTTTTCCCATCTGCTAAATGGGACAGGCAGGGACACAGACTGTTGGCGTCTCCTTCTGAAGGGGAGAGACTGAGGCAGGGAGTAGGCTGGGTCCACACGCAGGGGCAGAGCCTCCAGCCGGAGGGGGGTGGGGGGCGCCACCCCTCCCCCTCCCCCATCATAGCTCCTGGCCCCACCCCCTCAGCACGTGTCCTGTCTCAGGTTCTCTACTTCATGGTCCTCTCTCCACCTGAGGCAGGTCTCTGAGAACTGCGGGAACACTATTCCCCAAGAGAGGTTTAGAGGGTGGGCCCACGCCCTCGGTCCCCGGAGGCCAGCGCCGGGTCCATTCCTCCAGAGGTCCCGCACAGTGGCCAGCGCCCTCCGAGAGGCCCCCACGGCTACCTCCCAGCTCTCACGCGCGGGCCTGTCCAGTGGAGCCCTACGAGGCCCCGGCCCCAGGCCGGGGACGCCAGGTCCCCTGCCGGCCACTCCTGGAGGTCGGGGCAGGGCCCAGCTGGCCACGGACTGGAATGCGAGCCCGGCCGGACGCCATCTGGTTTCCATCTGCCCAGCCCAGCTCGGCCCAACTTCAAAGGGTCCCCCGCCCGGCCACTTCCTCTGCCCTGGCCGCCCGCAGGGAAGGCACCAGGGCGGCCCTGCTTCCTCCCCGCCCCTCTGTGGCCCCAGGGAGCTGCTGCTCTGCAGTCCACAAGAACGTGACCCCCCCCCCCCCCCCGGCTCAACCAGCCGCCGTGGCCTCAACACACCAGACTCCGAGCCGACCTACAAGGCCTCCGGCCCGCATCCCCAAGCCCCCACCTCTGTCCGCACAGCTGCCCGCCTGGCCTCACCCCAGACCCGCGACCAGGGCAAGCCTGGGCAGGTCGCAGGGCCCCTCTCCCGCGGTCTCCGCGGGCCCGCCCGCCACACACACCGTCTCTGGTAGTCCCCGCACTTCTCGCCCGCCCCGACAGCCGCGCCCCTGGCGCCCGGCCGGGCCCACCCGCAGCCCCAGTCCCTGTCCGCCTCCCCGCAGGGCTCCCAGGGCGCAGCGGGTGCCGGCCGCCCCGAGGCCCCATCGCGGCGCGCAGCCCACCTGCTTGAACTGCTCCTCGTACGTCCAGTCCCCGTGGTCCGGCGGCTGCAGCTGCGGCGCCCCGTGGGCGGCCCCTCCGGCGTGGGCCAGGCTGGCCCCGGGGCGCTCCTGGCCGCCCAGCGCCCGGGGCCCGCTGTCAGCCCGGAAAGCCTGGGACAGCGGGGCCCTGCGGGGGACGAGGGGTGCGGGGCCCAGGCCGGAGGCGCCCGGGGGCCCCAGCCCCTCCTCGTCCTCGAAGTCCTCTTCCTCCTCCTCCTCCTCCTCCTCCTCCTCCTCCAGGTCTTCCTCCAGCTCCTCCTCCTCCTCCTCCTCCTCCTCCTCCTCCTCCTCCCATCTCGGCTTCCTGGGGCAGGCGGAGGGCACGGGTCAGGGGAGCCGCTGCCCACTCACGCGGCCCCGGGGCGGCTCTGCGCCTCCCAGAGCCTCGGTCTCCCCGTCGGCGCCGGAGAGCGGACCCCGCCCACTGCAGGTGCTGAGGGGGGTCGGAGCCCACCCCCCACCCCGTCAGCACGACCCCCACCGCTAACCCCCCTGCACCGCGCGGCTCGGGCTTCCCTGGAGGGCCAGTCCCTGCCTCACGAGCCTTTGCTCAGGCCCTTCCTCCTGCCTGGCATGCTGTTCCGGGCCCCCGACGCCCCTCCCCATGCCCCCCGCATCTCGGCGCCCCTCATCCCAGGCTGCCGTCACCCCGCTCCTCTGCTTGTTGCGGGCCTTCCCAGGGTGACCCGCCGGGCGCTCGCCAGCCCCCAGCTCGGGGCCTGCGTGCGGTCCCGGGGGACACAGCGAGCCAGCCAACCCCGCCCGGCGGCTCCCCCGGGCCGCCAGCTGCTGCAGCCTCGCCAGGCGTGGGGCTCCTGTCAGCCCTCCCAGGCTCAGTCCCCCGCCCCTTCACGCTGACGCCTGTCCTGGACGGCACGTGCCCACCGTCCTCCAGAAGGTTCTAAGGGGCAGCACTGATCTCAGCGGTCAGTGGGACAGGGTCTCGTCCGGCCTGTGCGGCTGTGACCCCGGGGCCCAGAGCTGCCTGGCTCGCGTCACGCCCTTGAGCCCGCGGGCGCCCGGCTGGCCCGCGGCCCCACTCACAGGTCGCCGTCAGAGCCAGCCTCCTCCAGGTGCCCGTCGCCTTCCGCAGGACCCGGTGCCTCCCTGCCTCGGGCCGGGGGCGCGGGCGAGCCTGGTGGCCCCTCCCGGGCCGCGTCCTCGTCCTCGGAGCCGGGCGGCCCGTCCTCGGAGCCACGGGGGCTGGGCGGGTGTCCCAGGCCTGCGGCAGCGGCCCGCATGGCCGCCAGCGCGGCCATCTGGGCCCGCTGCATCCGGGCCTTCTCTGGCTCTCTGTCCTCGTCCGGGGCGGCCCTGGCCCGGGCTGGGGGCCCGGCCGGGAGCTCGGGCGGCGCAGGCTGCCGGGCCTCCAGCTCCTGGCGTGCCCGCTGCTGCCGCTGCAGGAGCGTCTCCATCACAGCCTGCAGCTTCATGGCCCTGCGGGCCGGGCCGCCCCGGGCACCAGGCGTGGGCGGCAGGGGCGGCCCCTGCGGGGAGGGGGCCTGGCCGCACTGCAGTGTGGGGGCCTCAGGGGAGCCGGGACAGTGCAGGGTGGCGGGGGGCGGGGGCGGGGGCCGCCGTGCTCAGGCTGAGGGCATGCCAGCGGTGCCTCCTTCTCACGCCAGGCACCGGGTAACAGCAGCTGGTGTCTGGCTCATTCACAGGTTTGCAGAGACCTGGGGGCAGCGAGAGAGACCGTCAGACCACACTCCTGGGCCCCTCGGCCCCATCCTCCCCAGTGAGGTCAGACCACACAGAAAATCTCTCCCAACCATTCCCATTAGGGTGCAAACCTGGAGGCCCTCCTGGAGGTGGTAGATGGTGCTCTCCCCATCTGCCCCCCCCCCCCGTCTGCCCTCCAGCAGGCTGGGAAGCGGGGTCAGCCTGCACTGAACTCCCAAGGGTCTGAAGGTGGCCCCCACCAGTCTGGGCCACAAAGAAACATGCAGTTACTGACCCCACCTTGTGGGGAAGACCTTGGATTATTGCTTCATAAACATAGCAGGGGGACTGGGCATTCCCAGCCTCTGATTGGCCACAGCCAGCTACCAGGCACCAGAGTCCAGGGGGTTCTGGGTTCTGGTTCCGAGCTCCAGGCGCTGCTCCAACGCCTGCTGGTGTGCCCGGTCCAGATGGCCCCAGGCGCTGGGAGGCTAACCGAGGCCCCCCCCGGAGGCTAACCGAGGCCCCCCCGGAGGCTAACCGAGGCCCCCCCCCGGAGGCTAACCGAGGCCCCCCCCCACCCGAGGCTAACCGAGGCCATGGCTGACCCGGGCAGAGGGCTTCCTGCGTATGGGTCCTGAGCTCACCTTCCTCACTCATGATCCCATCTCATTCCTGAGCCTTAACCTCTCTGGGCCTCAGTTTCCCCATCTGCAGGGTGGTGTCCTGGCAGCACCCAGCTCTGTGCTCAAGCAGGGACAGAGCAAGTTTGTGACGGTAAAGGCAGGGACATGGCAAGCACTGTGCCCATGTTAGGGAAGGAGGCCCTGGACGGTCCCCATGTTACGGGTGAGAAAAACCGAGGCCACGAGATGCCCTGTCCCCGAGACACACATGTTCCCAGCAAGGCTGGGGTTTGAACCAGGATCCAGGGAGCATGAAGAGCCTTCCTCACCACCCCAGGCCTCCTACCCTTCGGGACCCAAAACAGGGCCAACACCCCAGAACCCCAGCCTGGGGTCTCCTCAGACCACCACCAACCCTAATTGCCAAGGTCTCAGGCAGGGACACCCAGAACCCAGCAGACCTGGGCCCCACCAGAAGGAAGGACGCAGGTCCCCCCCCAGCCCCTCCCCAAGCCCAGGCCACACCCCCACCCGCCCAGACCGCCAGTAAAACCGGGCAGAAGCCAACAGGCCCTGTGGTGACAACACAGACGGCACATCATGGGGAAGGGGACAGGAGATGGGGGAGGGGCAGGAGGCTGCCCCTAACCCAGCAAATGAACCCCTAAGCCACTCCTGGGGCAAACTGGGACCCACACAGCAGAGGGGCCGGTGGGCAGAGGCTCCTGGAAGCTAGCAGACACTCATTCAGCAGGCCGGCCACCTCCCGACTCCTATGGTGACCTGCTAAGCGGAGCCTGACCCCACACTAGCACACCCAGTCAGGGAAGTGGCCCTCTGCTTTCTCCCCAGACCCCCTGCGGCTTCCATCCGGGTGGGTGAAAGGGCGGAAGGGGGCAGTGGGGGGCCCCTGTGGGAAATGGGAGAGGGTCACGTCCCTGAAGGACCCTGGTATCCAGCAGGGACAGGGGTCTCAGCACAAAGACGCTCTCAGAGGCCACAGTCCTGGAGGGTGACCAATACAGTCTGTCCTTAGAGGCAGCGAAGTAGCACCCAACCCCCCTCTCTCCATCCCCTCCGGGGACTGGTGGTCACCCCCCCACCAGCCCTAAGAAGTGCTGAGGGGACATTTCATGCCCAGTGTCTAGTCTGGTCCGCTGCCCCTCCCCCACATTTGACAACTTCAAGACAAGCCCCCCCCTCCCCACGGAAACGCTCCAGGCAACACCCCCCTCCTCTCTGGGGGGGGGCAGAAGGAAGGGGCCAGAGGAAGCCACTCCCCCCCAGCCTCCCACTCCTAGGCCTGCTGGGTTTAATGACCCTTCCGGGTCGCCCAGTGGGGGAGGGGAGCAGGGCAGGCCTCCACGTTGGGGCTGGTGGAGGGGGCAGGTGGGAACCCCAGGGCTCCCCTGGGCCGTGCCTGGGGCCCCCATGGCCGCCATTAACCCTAAGCTGGCACGCCCACCCCCTCCAGACCCCTCCCCCAAGAGCCCTTTGTCCTCGGTCCCTACCCCCCACTTTATGACAACCCTAAGGGAGAGGTATTCCCAGGCAGGGACCAGGCAGGGGTGGGGGTGTGCTGGGTGGTCGCTGGAACCTGACTAAGGGGCCAGAGGGATCACGGGCCACACCCTCCCCCCAATGCCTCCCGGAGAGAGAGGTCACCCGCTTGGGCCGGGGCCTTGCAAAACACGGTTATTTAAAGAGTTGTGCAAGGCTGGGGCCCGCGGGTGGCGAAAGGGGCCCCTCACTCCACGAAAGGAAGAGGGGGTGGGGTGGGGCAGAAAGCTGGGGAGGGGGCTAGGAGAGTCCGGGAGGGGGGCGGCCCGGAGGAAGTGAAAAAAGAAAAACCGAAGAAAGAGAAGAAATAAGACGACAAAAACCCCAGTCCGGATTTCAAAGGCTTCTTGGAAAGCGACCGATTTGCATGGGGGGGGGGGGAACCCCTCCGGCCCGGGCGACTAAAAACGGAAGATTATTGACAAATCCGCCGCCTGGGGTCGGACGCCGAACGTTGGAGTTGACAAACGCGAGCTCCCCGCGCTTCCTGCGCCCGCTTTTGTGTCCGGGGGGCACTGACCGCGGGAGGGGGGCTTTTCCCGGGGATCCCCGCCGGAGCGCGGCTGCGCGGCCGAACCCACGGCGGGGCGCGGGCGCGGGGACGGGGGCCCCTCCAGGGTCCCCTTCGGCTCCGGAGCCGACACTTTATAAGTAAGCCCTCCAAGCTGGGGAGGGTCGCCGGGGAACTGCCCTCCCCACCCGGCGCTCCACTCCGCTCGGGGGTCGGGAATAAAGCGTCCGACTCGGGGAGAAAAAATGAGATAAGAGCCGGGAGAGCAGCCCCCCGCGCGCGCCTAGAGACCATTTCCTTCCGCTGGGGGGGTAGGGGGCGGCGCTCGCCCTGGACCCCCGATGGCCCCGGCGCACCGTGGAAGCGGCTGAGGTCTCCGAGGGGGCTCGCAGAGAAAACCGCCCCAACTCGGACCCCCGGAGTCGTCTTCCCCGTCCTGAGCCCCCACCCTCGTCCCTGCCCAACTTTGGAGACCCCCTCACTGGCTTCCCGGGCGCAGTGCGCCCACCCGGGACCGGAACCCGCGACCTACAAGGCGAGCCGCCCGCCGAGTCCGCGTCTACACCCCCATCCGACCCGATTGGTAAGAGTCTCCCCGCGCGCGGCCTCCCCCGCCCCTCCCCTCCCCCCGCCGGCGCGCTCACCGCCCCGCAGACAAATCACCGGGTGACAAATCGCTCTCAGATGCAAATACCTCGCCGGTGATTCAGCGCTGCGGCCCGGGACGCGGGGAGGGGTCTCGTGAGGCCCCCTCCCCCTTCCCGGACGCCCCCTCGACCCCCGCGCTCGGTCCGACGACGCACCGCCAGCCCAGTAGTGTTGGGGAGGGGGAGAGAGTGACCAGAAATTTTCAGGTCACGGCCCCTTTAAATGATAATAAATAATGAAAGGGAAGGGGAACAGCTTCGCGGGAGGCCCCGCCCCCTGCTTAGGGACGGTAGGCAAAGTGCGCGCCGCGGCCCCGAGCGCACAGGGCGCCGAGGGCGCGGGAGGGCTGGGGCGGTCCGAGGGGTAGGGGACGGCTGTAGACCTCCACCAGGCCGGGCTGGAGGGACCCGAGCCGCGTCGGGGACCCCTTGACCAGCTCTCCCGGCAGCTAGGATGGGCCCGCCCTTCCGAGCTCGGAGTTTCACCCCTGTCCCAGAACACCGCGACCTGGCGCTGGAGACTTCGCCCCTCCCCCCACCCCACCCCACCCCCAGCAGAGAGCCTCGGTTGCCACATCTGTAAAATGGGGATTAAAGACCCGGTAACGACTTAAGCTACGAGGACGAGAAACGAGAGCAGGGCAGGGGCTGGCAGGGGTCCAGAAGCCTGTGACAGGGGCGCTGCAGGATGGGGAGGGGTCTTGGAGGGGGAGCGCTGCCCGGGGCTGGCGGCAGCCCTGCGGGGACAGAAGCGTGGGGTGACTCCTCGTGAAGTCGTGAGGACCCCTGCCCCCGACTGTCACCTTCTAGGTGGAGACAAGATTATCTCCTTGGTACTAATAACTTGATAATTTCACGTTCCGAGGCTCCCCTTGCCCGCCATGTGCCCAATGCATCATGATCACATCTCTGTGTAGGCGACACTCTTAATGTCCTCATTTCAAAAGGAGGGACACCGAGGCACAGAGTAGAGTACCTCGAAGCTGGGGATGTGGGTGTGGGCTCTGCTGGGAGGTCTGAGGCCCAGAGGCCACCCTTGGGACTAATTGCAGGGGCCCCAGCTGCAGCCCAGATAAGAGCTGGGATGGGCAGTTGGCCTGGGGCCGCTTGTCGAGGGTCCCACCCGGTGGACCCTGGGTCCCTGGTTTCTAATGTTGAAAATGATCACAGTATGACATCTGTTCAGTGCAAACTGCAGGTTTCCTGCTTCAGGTGGGGGGCGGGGGTGGGATTCCCAAGCCCTGGGGATGTGTGTGGAGGGGGCAGCCCCAGGGTGGAGTCCTGCCCACTGCTTGCTTTTGGGAACCCAGCCCTCCAGCCCCAGGGCCTCTGTAGCCTAATGGCAGCAGGTGGTGAGAGGCCTCCACCTTTAGGCTATTAAACACCCAGTCCCAGCTGCCTGCCTTATCCCCCCCCCCCCGTGGGAGGGGCAGAGACATCTGCCCAAAGAGGGGGAAGTTTGGCGAGACCCAGGTGAGCTGGGGAGGAAGACCATCTTAAGGGGCCAGGTGCCCCCCAGGAACCACTTCTCCAAAGTGCAGGAAAGCCTCGTCCCCATCAAAGAGCCAAATGCGTCAGGATGCACCCCTGTCCCACCCCAGATTAGACCCGGGCGCCCCTCTGTGCCTCTGTTTTCCCTTGTAAAATGAGTCCATGTTTTGTTTGTTTTTTATATTTTTAGAGACAGAGGGAGAGCACATGTTTGCAGATGAGCAGGGGAGAGGGACAGAGGAAGGGAGAGAATCTTAAGTAGGCTCCACGCTCAGTGGGGAGCCCAACGCACGGCTGGATCCCACAACCCCCTGGGTTAATGTAGGACCACAGTCTGAGCCAAAATCAAGAGTCGGACGCTCAACGACCGAGCCACCCAGGCGCCCAGAATGAGTCCATGTCAAGTCATTCCTTGTGTACTCCTGTATACTTGTCTTGGGGATTACGTTTCCTTCTGCTCAAAAGGAGAGGGACACGGTGGGCTGCTCTGGAGGGCAGGTGCGGTGCTGCCCCTCCCCCACCTCCCAGGGGAAAGTTGTGCACAGGTAGCGAGATGTGGCTTCCCCAGAGGCGCCCAGCCCTAGAGGGTGAGGGCCACAGGCCTGCCAGCTGCCTCCAGTGAGGGCCAGCCTATTTTTAGCCCAAGAAGGGAGCGGGGAATTGATACAGACTTGCTGGCTCCATCAGGAGTGGGGAGTTCCCCCTCCGTCCTGGCTCTGTGATCTCCCCGTGGTGGAGACCCCTCTCTGGTCTGTTTTGCAAGCTCGGAAATGGGTACAGAGAGACCCAAGTCCTATAAGGTTTCCTGGCCAGACCGTATTGCAGGGCCCTTGTAGGTTTTGGACCCCCCCCACCCCGGATAAAAGTAGCCAGCTGCGCCCTCGCGGGTGGGGGGGGGGCACGCTCTGAAAAATTCTCCCGGATCCCAAACGGTCCAGCTTCCCACGTTTCTCCTCCTCAGACACATTCCCACATCTGGGCTTCTGTACCGGCCAGTCTTTCCGTGTGGAGTCCCCTTTCCAGATCACCCCAGGGCCGTGCCCTCTCCTGCCTCAAACTGGGGCATCAGCGCCTTAGAGGGTCCCTCCCTCACCTCTGGGCGTCAGCTGTGGCCCCATCACATCACCCTGTTCTATCCTTGTCCAGGCGCTTCTGTTTTGAAACATCCGCATTCGTTTTGCCTGCTTGTCCTTGCTCCACGCAGGTTCCAGGCCCGAGGCTGTGCCGGCACACAGTAGTTGCTCAATAAATGTTGGTTGAATGAATTCATGTGTTCCCTCCCTCATCCCACAGGATTTTTGGTGTCTGTCTATACAGAGGTGGAGGGCAAATTGAACAGTTCACCGTGTTGATTTCCAAAACAAACAAGCCTGGACAGGAGCGCTGGGCCCCATGGAAACCGCTGGACCCTCTGCTTTCTGCACCTGGCCCCAGACCGCCCTGCCCCTGTGAGCCAGGGTCCGGGATAATGCAATTTTATCAGCTTTTAAAATAGAACAAAGCAAATATGCCCATAACGGTATATAATCATGAATCCAGCGTAAACGATATTAGTGTTTATAAAAACATAGTAAAATACCTTGTTTGATATTTTCTCATAGACAAGACCTGGACACAAAAGTTCCCCGGGACCCAGGAAAGTCATGACGCGGCTCTGCTTGGCCCGTTCTGCATGGGGGGGGACGTCGGGCCGGGGTACGGCCTGGGGTTCCAATGGGCGACCGCCCCTGTGCGCCGGCGCCTCCTTTGAGGGGTCGAGCCGGGAACCTGTGCGGGGTGCGGGCCCCACCTGCCGGTCACCGACGGGGTTGCAGGCAGGAGCGGGGCAGCACCGCCGGCCGCCAGGTGGCGCCGTCTCTCCTGAAAACGACTTTCCCGGGTCGGACGGGGAAACTGCGGCCCGCGGGGCTTGTTTTCTCCGCTGTGGCTCCCTCTGAATGTCTGACGGTAGACTCGCCAGATAAATGCCAGACTCGCAGTTAAATTTTAAGTGTATCTAAGTGTTGCACAGGACGTACGTATACTAAAAAGGTTTTCATTGTTTATCAGAAATTGAAATTAGCCCCTTTCCCTACCCCAGACCCACCCTGGGGCTTACCCCCATCGGGTGGCCCTGGCACCCATCCCGCCCGCTCTCAGATGGGCCGTGCTGGCAAACGCCTGGTCCTGCCAGCTCGAAAGATAAGACCCGTCATGGTCATAAAATAATAAACTGGAAAAGTCTCTGCCTACCTGGGACCATGTCCCTCCCTGCTTCGAGGCCCCCAGGGTTCCCGTCACCCTCAGGAAAGACCCGGCTTATCCCTGCAGCTGTGACCTTCCCAGTACACCCTCCTCTGACCCTGCAGGCATTCGCGCTCTTTCTCAAACCCATCAGACGTTTGCTGCCCCAGGGCCTTTACACCGTCTGTGTCCCCCGTCTGCTGTGCTTTTCCGCCACCTCCGAGCTCCGTTCACACGTCCCAGACTCGCCGGCTCCGGGAGGCCGTCCTGGAGTCATCCAGCAAGGCCGGGCCCCCGGTGACACACGAGGGGCACACGTGTGCCCTGTTCCCGCTGTCACGCTGCATGCCTACAGGTCCTTCTGTCGAAGACCAGGCGGGGACTCTGCACAGGCAGCCCCTCCTCACGCCGTGGCCCAGCCCCCAGTGCACAGCCCGGCACACGGGAGGGGCTCCGAACACGAGGCGCAGCTACGTGGGCGCCAGACGACTCCTCTTCCTGCAAGGGAGGAAGCGAACCCTTCAACTTGGCAGGTTTCTCTAAGAGCCTTGTTTTTTTTTTTGTTTGTTTTTTTAATATTTTTATTTATTTCCAGGAGAGAGAGAGAGACAGCGTGAGCGGGGGAGGGTCAGAGAGAGGGGGAGACACAGACTCTGAAACAGGCTCCAGGCTCCGAGCTGGCAGTCAGCACAGAGCCCGACGCGGGGCTTGAACCCACGAACCGCGAGATCATGACCTAAGCGAAAGTCGGACGCTTAACCGACTAAGCCACCCAGGCGCCCCTCTAAGAGCCTTGTAAATGCTGATGCCAAGCGTCCCC